TTAATAAAACTCATAAACGCAAATTATACTTGCACCAAAGGCCAGGCAAAGTTACGGGATAGAAAAAAATTTGCGAAAGGCAGACAAAAAAGTGCGCTTTCACAAAAACTAAAACCAACAGCGAATACTAACCGTGACACCAGCTATATTTTGCTTTATAGACTTGAAAGCTGCATAAGAAAAACTCGCTGTGGATTGGCCACTCTCAGTGGAGCATAAAGCTTGTAACAATAAACTATGCAGGGGAAAAAGTGCTTAAAGAAAAATCAGAAAAAATGCTTTGAAACTTCTACTCGCTGTTGAAAAAGCAGTGCTGTTTTTGTTCTCTGTATTTATATTTTGCGTGAGTGCACTGGTCTTGGTTTCTAGCCGCTAAATTTTCCGAGAAAGGTGAAAATGTTGACGTTCTCGTATAAGGCTGCAGTTACATTGGTTGGTGGTTTGTAGAAAATATATTCCAAAGAATTGGATTGTGGATTTAGAAGAAGATATTTAATGTATAGGAAAATTCGAAAAGCTCCTACGGATATTATTAACTGACTTTAAAGAAGGAGAAACTTTATCGATAATCCTTCTTTGATCGTACAGGTAATACCCCCAGGGGTGGTACCGTACTAATTTGGTTTAGTTTTGATCATTGCAACATGAGAAAGCAAACGGTAATACTAAATATACTTTTGCTTAAAAATTTCTTGTAAAGGCCAGTATTTGCAGCTCTCAAGAAAAGCAAAAGCTGCATATAAAATGACTTAACCGGAAATGGCTAAGAAATTTTCTTGTGTAAAATTTTATTGAGGCAGTACGCAGTTATAAGGAAATTTTCAACGCTTTATACTACGGTTTTCTTAATTGTTTGGTAAAAAAAGGAGGACAAGGCAACCCATACCTGCAACACAAACACATTTATGCCCGTTTCCTTATTTCTTGAGGAAAGAAGGAGGCAACAGGCTGGTGTATCATCAGATGTCAAATTTCCTTGGATACACTCACGAAATAATGCAAACTCTTTCTTGACCGTTTTCTTCGGAGCGACATACTGGCCTTAAATCTGACTGAGTGAGTGTGTCAGTTGCTCTGTTACGCTAAAAATTATTGATATATTTCAATGGAATTTGGGGCACGGATAGGTTATAACCTCGATTACCGTATAGTATATTTTCTGAACAGAAATAAATATTAAATAAAATATTAAAACAATTGAAAAGGGGTTATATAAATGTTTAAAGGGTTGTAACCTGCTAAGAGAAATTAAGTCAAATATTTAATATTAAATAACACAACAATGTGTTTGCAAAAGTGGGCTAAAAACTATTTATTTCAAACATATTCTTTTAGAGGGTTGCCACCTGTTCAAAAGGCTTAAATCAATTGAAATAACAAGTTCAACGAAAAATCTGAATATGGGTATCACACGAGCGAGATTTATGAAAGCTTTATTTCAAACATCTTTTTAAAGGGGCTGCCATTTGTTTAGAAATTCAAAATCAATTTCGTTAACAAATTAAATGAAATATTTCGATATGGGTATCCAATGAGAGGGTTTAAAAAAAAAAAACTATAATACTACTTAAGCATCTTTGAAGAGGGTTGCCAACTGTGCAGGCAACAAAAGGAGATTTAAATAATATGTTTAAAAAATATATATTTTAATATGCGTATCAAACTAGAGCGGTTTTAATATGTATGTATGTATATCTACATCGAAAATACTTTTAGCGATCATTGTCACCAGTTTAGGAATAGAAACTGAATTCGATTGACATGTTAAATCTGTTTTCATATGGAATAGTAGCTTACGTGGAAAAGCTGACTTAAGTATATGCGGTGTTCGCAGCATACGATTGCGAAGGACTCACTGGCGCCGAGCCGTTGAAGAACTTTTGGCAAATAAACGTGCAAGCAATAGTACCGATACTAGCAAGTCAATATTCTTATTTAGTCTTTTAAACAAAATCCTTGTTGTTTAAAGGATAAAGACAATGCCGCATTATACTAAAGCCAGCTTCTCGACATAAGCTACTATTCCATACGAACACAGAAATGAAATCGTACTCGTATTATAAATGTTAAGGTATGTGAGTGAGTGCGTGAGTAGACTCGGCATAGGAATATCTCACGATCTGGATTAACGTATATGGATGCCAAGCGAACGAGGCTTAAAAGGCTTTATTACGAAAATATATTTGGGGAAATTGTAACCTTTTTAAATATTACAATTCATTTTTATTAATAAGATAAATAAATTAATACAATGTTGGCGGCCAATGAAAGCTATATTATGGAAATATTTTGAAAAGAATTTTGCCACCTAATTTAAAATTACATCCGATTTTTTGTTTTAATTTTTTCTTAAAATGTTAAAAGGCTTATCAAATTTAACCAATATGAATGCCAAACGAAACAGACTTCAGGGTCAAAATTTACCGTTTTTTAATTTTTAATCACTTCTTTCTGATCTGATCAATCCAAGCTTTTTTCATAATTTTTTTCTACTAAAAATTTAAATTTTGCTTTCCATGGATTTTATGTTGTGTTTGGAAAATTTTTTGGCCATGGTTATCATCCTCACATATCAGGGAAAGTTTCAATTTTCATTGCGATTTGGGAGGAATAATGAAATGAGGAACGAACAATGAAGATGGCACAACGCAGAAAACCGGTTTGTCTCCAAACCAAATTTGACAAGGGATAACGGAAAATCCACAATACATCATACTCCTACCCTTTCGGAAACACAAACGACCAAAAAGAAGTCCCCATGGAAGCATTTCCGGCCAGTTCGTTCAACAAACTCAGAGCACTGGAGCCAGCACTTCCCAACCAACAAACAAACAAACGTGGACAATGTTTCTTATGTCAGTATGACATTATCGCAAGCAAACAATCCACCAAATGTGAAATGTGCAACAAATTTCTATGCATAAACCACCACAATAAACTTATAATTTGAGTGATAAATGTTAAGAAAACAAATGACACACAACAAGAAATTGTCAGTGAATCAGCTCCATAAATTTTATTTAAATCAAATAGCCGTTAGGTTTCGCAGGTTCAAAAATGGCATATGGGACTTATGAGGGTTAATAAAGTTAAGTTGTACTTTGACAGCTATAGGTCACACCGACCTGTTTAAAAAACACCGACCTGTTAAAAAGCAACGATTTTATACCCTTTCAATATTTCAATATATTAATCATGTTTAAGCAAAATTAATTATACCAATGAGATATTTATATAAAGCAAAAAATGTTGGACTTGGTTCAGCGACGCAAAGTTAGTCCAAAAAACATAGCGCTAGCTTAGAGTAAAAAGTTGCTAAGTCCCAAGTTAAAAATTATACAGGAGAGGAGAAAAACTTCTCAAAACCATGTAAACTAAAGCTGCTTTATCAGGTTTTTTCCTAATTTCAAAACCAGGAACCGGTTTTTTCTAGATTGCAATTTTTCCAACAACTCAAAAACAAGTTTTAGAAAACAGGCGAATAATCGAACACCCTAACACATATATGGAAATTTCACGAACACATTCAAAAGTATTTGAGGAAAATTTTAACCCGATGTGATTGTAATGATATCTTTAAGAAAGTCGGTACGAATATTTTTTAGTAACGTCGCTTTTATTTAAAGTGTTTGGTTTTTTTAATAAATGGCAACTTTAGTAATTCAATATTTGCCCTCTTTTGTATTTTTTTACTTTATTTTTTAATTGCGGTTATCATTTTAATATGTTGTATCTTATCAAAAATTGGTCTGCAAATTTCAAATATTTCAATTTCAACCAGCTCCCGCATCCCTTTCCCACTTATGCTTCGGAAACAAAAATTTCATTCAGGATAAGTGATAATTTTTTAAGCTCCGAACAACCACAAAAAATTTCGTTTACGCTAAACCGCCATTTATTAACTCCGCATAAAATGAAAGCGGTTGGAAGAAAAATGTGTCCCTATGGGAATACGGGTATGTAAACAATCACAAAATCTCTGCACGAGTACTATGTATATATGTATATACATACATATGTATGTATATTGCTGGTGTGGAAAAATAACATATTTTAAGTGATAATAAATTCTGTTTACCTCCCAACTGATTGATTAAATATGCAAAAAGCGACTAACAGTGAACTGTAAAGAAACAAGCTGGCCATAAAGTGCAATAGTAAACGAAGGCATTTAATAAATAACAAAAATAAAACAAAAAAAAAAGTAACACAATTATACACAAGCTCTCAAACATACATTTAAGGTAAACTACCACGCCAACACTCTAAGTGCATGTCGCTCATGTGATGGAAGAAAGTCATAATTCAAACGAAGCCATTTTTTCAGGGACCGCAACGTTTAATGCTTTTATTAAAAAAAATTATTTTTTAATGATTACTTATTGAGTTTTATTTATTGCTCAAACAATAACGTTTCTTTTGATTTTTTTTTTGCTCGAAAAATAAAAGTTGTTTAGGAGCTTTATTTTTTGGCGAAACCGAAGACGAACACGAGGATGGACAGAAAGAGCAACACGAAAGCGAACATGCATACGAAGACGAATACGACTACGAAAACGAAGACGTAGACGAAAACGAATACGGAGATGAAATTTAAGACGACGACGAAAACACGAAGACGAACGCAAAGGCCAAATATATATATGATGCGAAAAAGAATACGAAGAGCCAGACCAAAAAGTAAACCATGACGAATGCGAAGACGGAAGCGATTACGAAACCGAAGACGATCAAGACAACGATTGGGAAGCTGAATACGAGGACAAAGACGACCACGAAAGAAGACGAAGATGAACGCGAGTACGTCTAAGATTACGGAAACGGATGATAAAGCTAGTACGAACACGAACGCAAATGCGAACGCGAATACGAAGTTGACTACGAAGATAAACACGAAAACGGGAACTGCCATTACATTTACAATTACGCTGACCATAACCATTATCATTAGCTTTACCGCAACCATTACCATTGCCATTACAATTTCGTTTACTACTTACTACGATTAGCATTACTTTTATCATTACTATTACCAATCTCTGCCATTGTCATTTCGATTACCTGATTACTATCATCATTACTATTACCATTACAACTGCCTTTATCAATGCCATTGCCACCATTGTCTTTATCTTTGCAATTTGCATTAGCTTTACCACAACCATTAACTTTACAATTTGCATTACTATTACCATAACCATTACGATTACTACTAATTATGATTAACATTATCATTACCAATGTCTATCATTACCAGTACTATTGCCATTACCTAGTTACTATCACCATTACTATTACCATTACAATTACCTTTATAAATTCCAATGCCATCTTTGTCTTTACAATTTGCATGACAAAAAATAACACAAAAACAAATTTTTATTCTTCAAGCAATAAAAAAAAAACTCAAAAGGTAACGATTATTGTTCAAGTCAAAAAATTGCGATTATTTGCAAGCAATAAATAAAACTCCAAAAATAATTAGTAAACTTGATTATTTTTTAAGAAATCGCCGCTGAAGGTAGTCCGAGTTACAAGGAGTTTGTTGGTTTACCCCTTATGCACGCAGCACTCCTCTTTCAGCATGATTTTTTGAGTTGAAGTTTTAAAAATATTACTAACTATATATTGCGTGAAAAATTCACAACGACATATTTTAATTAAAAGTTCACTATTTTGGAATTTTATTAAGAGCCACTTTTTTTTTTGTAATATTTATTTTTGTGGAAGAAAATATAACTGGACAAAAGCTTTAAGGCAGTGTCACACGATTGGTACATTTGTACAGATTTGTACATTTTTTATATTGGGCTATTTGGTACAAAAAAAAAAGTTGGTACAATACAGCAAAGTTCTATTGAAAAATTTGAACAAAATGTTTTTCGTGATTGCGATAAAAAAAAATGTTTGTACGATTGGGATACGATTTGCAAATGCCCAAACGTGTGACACTGCCTTTAGAGCTCATTTCTCGAATTATGATTTTTAAACAACTTAAAAAACGATTAAATACTTATGCCATTTTTCCAGCTGGCGGCCAGTATGTTCGTATGTACCTAGTTTGTACCTATTATTCTATCTACCAGAGCAATTGGGCCCAACCAGGCGTATGCGCAAAATAAAAAAACAGCACTTCAAAGAAAGTATTAAAAAAGTGAACAGATATTGTTATTGCTTCCATGGGGACACGCAAGCGAGTGCAAAGGTTAACAAAGAAGAGCTGTGTTCCAACACTGAAGTGTAGCTAGAAATGTGACAACTTTTGCTTCAAAACAAATTGTCAATTTATAAATAACAACAACACAACATACAACTTTAACTTTGCTCGGGGGGAGTAAATAGAATGGCCGACCGACCGACTGACTACCTACCCTCTTTCTAAGTACATATACACACACACATAAAAGCAGCCCATAAAAAGCGTTGACTATTTGCCATTGTAAGTGGGCGCGCCACGCCACAAGAACCATAAGGTGGCTGTGAAATTTGCGCTTTGTGCATTGTTTCTATGAAAATTTACTTTAATAAATAATAAATGAAGTGGGTGATTTATGCGCTATGGTGCGTTGTGATTTTTTTCCTTCGTTCATTTACAACCTGTGCCGGTTGAGATAGGTATTTAGGTGTTTAACATGAATTTTGTGAACATTGTTGTGTACACGCAATGGTTTTGTTTTTGAAGCAGCCGTTGAGCTCGTTGATTAACTGCCTCCGAGATGCTGGTATACCCTAAGGTCAAAAAGTAGGCATTTGCTTAACTTTATTCGGGAAGTTTATTTGTTAAATGATTGTTGGTTGACTTTTTGTAGCACGTGATGGTTGTTGCTTTTATAAGGGTTTTGCGAATTACTTGTAGGAAGGTTGCCATCTGTTAAAAAAATTTAACTAAATTGACTATAAGACAATTTGGTAATTGAGATATTAAATGAATATATTTTTAAGCGGGCTACCAGCTGTTTAAAAAGTCGAATTTATTTTAATTATGCACTAGTTATATGCAATATCAAAATATGGGTGTCAAACGAAAGGCTGGTAAGTTTGAACATTTTTAATATTTGCGAGGTATTTAAAAAGGGTTGCCACTGGTTTAAAAAGTTAAATACAAATTATTTGATATGTTAAATGAATTATTAAAATTTGGGTATCAATGAAATTATTAAAATTTTGGTAAAATGAAATGGAAAGGCTTTATTTTCCAACTTGTATGAATTGGAAAAATCAGATTCAACTTAATTCAGCAATTAATTGAAATTTGTATACCAACTAAAGAGGATTAAGAAGATTTAAGTTTAAAAATACTTTTGAAAAGGGTTGTCACCTGTTTGAAATGTCGAGTTTACTTAAAGTATACGCAAGAAATATACCTACATACATATATGATGTATTTAAATATGAGTGTCAAACGGAGATGTTTAATGAAAGCTTTGATTTGAATATACTTTTGATTAGGGTTGCATCCTATTCTAAAAGTAGTATCTATCAGCATATATACATACTATATACAATACGCAAAGGTATTTTAGTGGAGGTCATCAGATCTGCACCGTTGCTTCCAAGGAGATGTAAAATTAAAGAGCTTGGCCTGTGGATGTGAAATAACGTTTTATTTTTTGAACTTAAAATTTTTTTATCGGTACAGAGTGATTTGAAATTCGAAAAATTGAACTATTTCAACCTTTTCTTCACGCAAAAACGACTGAATAGATTTGTAAAAAAAAATTTGTGGTTTTTGAAGATTTAAGAAAATCTTGGATAACTCAGCCACAACTTTATCGATTTTGACTTGTGAGGCATCATCGGGCAGGCTTTTTCTCATCCTTTTTCTTAATTAATTTTAATCAATCTTTCATACATTGAATGAATTTATTTGCAAACAAATGAAAACGAAATACCTTTGCAATGAAACCCCACCAGTCTTAATCGGTAAAGGTTTGGTTATTCAATTTTTTCTTAAACCAATCTTTGAAAAAGTTAAAAAAGCATCTCATTTCTCATTATTATAGTTTCGCTGAAAAATTTTTTTAGATTTTGCATGAAAATTTTTTAAGCTTGAACTATTTTGTCATCTGATGTAAGCTTTAAAAAAAAAATACTTTAAAAAAATTTTTTATTCATAAAAAAACTCAGTTTTTGGAGTTATTTTCAAATCAGTCCAGCTCACGCAAATCTTAAATAGATTGTATAATTTTAACGGAAAAAAGTGTCGACTTTTTTCATGGGGAGTTATGCAGTCTAATTATCCATATATTATGTAGATAGTTTTTGTTCAGGCCTTATCATAAACCTTCTTAAGAATTAAGAGGGGACAGCATAACTAATCGTAAAAGTGTTTTTCATCCAAACAAGGGCTGTCCATACCTGAGACAACATTTTTCATCACGCTCCACGTACTTCTGGTTTTCGGACTGGCACTAAGCACAAACCCGTGCCAAACCCCTTTTTCTGATGCGTAAGTCAGAGATGGCTCCATCTGAACTCCACCTGCATCAGCTGAAACTCTTGCAACAAACCTTTTACGCTCTGTTCTCATGGTTTCGCGAAGCTTTCAATGCTTCCGTTGGATATGATCTGATCGGCTCCGTAATCGCCATGCAGGGTGACCTAACATTGTTTGTATGTTCATGGGTATGTATACATATATTTTCACCTGAGCTGCAAAAAGTCATAACTAACAAATTTTATTTTGCATAGAATGATGTGGGAATTTGTAATACGATTAAATGCATCTTGATTATGAAAATTGAATATTGCCTACTCTTGTAAGAATGCCAGTTAATCTACTAGAATATTTACTGGCTCCTTTGGCCTTACGCTGCATCTAGTTTTTCTCACATTTTGACAAATTGTCAAATCATTAATCTGCTATTTGTATGCCAGAAACTATATCCGCCGTTAATCACAAGGACCCGCATATACTTTTCAGTCGTGGTTATATAAATTTCTGCCTGATACAAGTATGTATATCGCATCCCCCTCTATCCAAAGTATAGGCTATTGGGAAACCTTGATTTCTCCTGATCACAGCACTTACAGTTGCAACAATGCGTTAATGTCATTGTTTTTTTTTTCTAATTTATATCAGCGTAGTAATAGCCTAGTCGCTATCTTATGTGTAAACCACAAAGCTTACACCACACACACACGCACAATCAAAGCTAACATCAACTCAGGTAAATTTCGTAAAGCGACCCCAACGCCGCAGCACAAAATGTCCTTTAGCCTCGCCCCATTGGCAGTGGCTAGCAGCATTGGCTTTCACATAATTGCTCTTCTACTAAATTGGCTATAAGCAAAATTGCTGCAAAATGGTTTAAACGAATGAGCTGTGTCATACATAGCAAGCAACCGAATGAGCAAATGAAAAACGCAACAGAAGCGAGGGAGTGCTGGCTGCCACAAAGTGCAGCGAAAATTTTCTATAAAAAAAAAATATATAAGAATAAAATTAACCGAAAAGTAAATCTGCTGTTAGAAGCATCCGCAGGACGTAAAGCGCAAAAATAAAGAAAGAAAAACTAAAATAAATCGTAAAAATAAAGAAAAAGAATGGCGAAGCTAACCAGCAGACGATTAAGTAGGAGCATCTTATACATACATACATACATATGTACATAGCTGCCGGTCATGCTGTGGGCAAATGATGTGCACGAAGGAAGCATAGCATAGCTGCGCAGCAGAAAGGATAACGGTCGGTGCTGATGGTGTGGTGCTGGCAATGCTGCTGTGGCTGCCACTACCGCTGCGATGCTGTTGGTGATGAAGCGACAGCGCTGCTGCACAGGAAGATGAAAACATATTTTATGAGCTTCTTGTTGATGATAAAACTTTGTATTAAAAGGAAAAAATCCCGCTGGGAGAATAATTGAGACTTTTACATTTTATGTGTGCATTTGTATGTATGTATGTACATCTATTTAAGTTTGAACAAATGTGCATAGCGTATGTGTGTTTGCGAATCTATGTACAACCAAAATAGAAACAAAGGGTATGTATGGGTATGTTTAAATGAATATGTGGGTGTACATACATACATATGTACGTGCGAGGAGCGCTAGATACAAATATACAATATATGTATGTATGTACACTAGAGTGGCCGTTTTGGATTCAAATTCGAAAACGAGAGCATTCTTATGACGCGCATTTTTTTATGTTGTTTTCAATTAGTTGTTGTTCAGTTTTCTATAAAATTAAACTTTAAAGATTCACAACAATTTTACTAAATCTAA